TGTATAAGTATGGTAAAATTGAATTAATTATAAAATGTTATTTTTACTCCCAAAGCATTGGCTTTTACGATAATGTAGCCATTGGAAAGTAAATGCACTCAGTAATTTAAAATACATATTTAAATAGTTCTAAAAACAATGCGAAAGTATTCTAACCAAACTGCCAAAGTATGAAGCCCCAAATGCAATAAAAATATAATTTTTTTACAAATACTCTCAAGCTGTCCCTAGCTAATTAAATAAAAGCAATTAAAAATCTGTTAATGTGCCGGCTGTAATTTTCCAAAGAGGTTAAACAAGTAATTCCATTATTTATTTGACGCTAAGTTAAACAAGGCGAAACACCTAAACAACACGTCGACGTACATATGTATGTATATCGAACGGTGAAAGCTACTATGTTATGGTAATTACCTTTATTAATGAATTTACAGCCTGGCCACATTACATTTTGGCGTGCGCTATGGTATCAAAATGTCTATCAACATCAATTGCTGTCTGTTATGCGCAGCAAATTGCCATCCACTCACAAAATACATATATATGTAGGTATAAACGTACTTACTCATGCATTCATGTCAATAACCCAACCGGTGCTAGTCAAATGATCAAATGAAAATATAAATACTTTCGGCAAAATTACGTCAAATTTAATAGAAACTTACGCAGTTAGAGATATTTTATACAAATATGTACATAACTATATTGTAGCCGTAACCGAAATTTTGATCATTAAAAGAACGAAACCGAAACCGTTTCGAACACAGCAACCGGTTCCAATCGGTTTCCAGAAAACTACAAAAATCAGCTGCCGGAACTGGCAACCACAAACTATTTTATTTTTCAGTAGCACAACTGTGTCGTTACACGATCAAGAATTTGCTTTCAAGTTGATTACATATAGGTACTGCTTGTCAAAATTCATTTGAATTGACAGCTTTAACGTAGGCTGCACACAACTTGATATGTAGTCAATTTTCGTTTTAATACGCTGTTGCCAAAGAAACAATTTAAAATTCTCGCCTCGTTCACGTAAAGACATATATCTGAGACAAAATCTGACTAAATTTTTGAGTACTGGAACAAATTAAATATGATCTCCTATTGGACCTGACTATCAAGTTGTCACACGACTTGAAAGGATAATTGAAACCAAGTCGATGGTAGCTGTAAAGGTGCGAGTTTGTTACTAAAAAAAAGTGCGGTTTCATTGCAACTTGAGTAAAATAAATAAAGCGATACTTTCCGTTTACGCGTTCGAAAAAAATTCCTTTTAAATGTGCTCACGCTTATGAGTTCTCACACGTAGAGTTTTCTTTATTTTATTTAATTTTTTTTTCTTATTTTATTAAGTACACAATTTTCTGCAAACAAAAGCTCAAGCTATAATAGATGAGCTATTGAAATTGAACCAAATTGTAAAATGTGATTCAGAGGTTTTTTCTTTATATGAATTTAAATTAAACACAGCAAAAATTTTTATTTTTTTGTCAAACTTGTTTTATTTTTTTATTTTTGCAAACCCGAAACCGAGACAAAATTTGAAAAACAAAACCAAAACCGAAAACGAGTACTTTGCAAAACCGAAACCAAACCGGAACGTTATTTTTATTCGGTTTCATTCCTTCCTTTAAGCCGGTCATAAAGCATTACACTGAAATGTTTAGTTTTCCACGAACAAATAACTTTCGGAAAAATTCCGAAGTAGCCTCGAAAATACCAGATTAGTCCCGAAAATCCCAAAATAGTCCCAACAATTTTGAAACCCTCTGAAAAAATAATGGACCAACCCCGAATCAGTCCATTAATACTTAAATATTTGCTACCGGAAATTTGGAAACCCTACAACAAAAATCCTTAATCAGTCCACAAAAACCCTAACCAGTCTCGATAACCACGAATTAGTCACAAAAATACCGACTAACATACATTATGAAACTTCTGAAAAACTCCCACTAACAGGTCTATTCTGCGCTGGTAATAAAAAGTTTGTAACCGGTAAATAAAGTTCCTGTCAATTTTTAAACCCTTTTCGCATTCTGTGGACTCTTATAACCGGCAAATTTTGTTACCATCTCATAAGCTGTATTGCCCCGTGAAATATGCAATGCCAGAATTTGCACAATTCTTCATAGCTGAATTGCTGAATATTTTAACTGCATTACCAACGTTCCTAGAATCGCGGTGACAAGAACTGGTAACATTTTTTTGTAATAAAAATGTCCGGTTACAAAATCTTCGGTAACGTGCAGAATAGACCTGTAAATATACCGAATAAAAACTCAGAGCAAATATCAAATAGTATTTATATATGTATATACCAGAAAAATCCTACAACGCCCCCCAAAATTTATATCGGAAAACACTGAAAATTACGATAGTTGTACCGGAAACTTCCAAGAAGAACAAAGATTCCCTAAGTGTTCTGAAAAATCCCGATTAGTATTAAAACTCACACTTTACGCATTCTTATGGTCTGATTCTGCATACTTCGCATAAATTCGCACAACTTCGCATAAACTTCAAACTGTAATTTCGTATGTACTTTATATATATTTTGTATGTATTCCATTACCCAGAAACTAGCAGAACTTTTAACATCTTAGCGATCTGTTCAGTTTAGATTTTGCTTCACCTTTTCCTAAGTTATATTTTTATTGCACTGATACAAATGGTTGTGCGAAGTTATGCGAAATATGCATAATCAGACCTTTAGTTACTAAAATTTTTTTTTTTTTTGTTTGCCCACTTTACGGTCTCTCTTTTGCGCATTTAACATTTTGCGCACACTGCAAAAATTTGTTTATGTTCGGGCAATTCAGGTGATGTTTTATAAGCATTGCCTATTAATTAAAAGTAAGTGCGTTCTTTGTCCAGAGTCACGTACAAGCGTTGCGTTGATCGTGTCATTTCTGCTTCATTGCTTATGAAGCTCTTCACTTACACTGTTGTACAGCAGTTAACTTTCTATTAAAGTCAGTAGGATCAAAATGATCTCTTATGATTATGCCTTTAAGTCATAATTGGTTTCAATATATCCAGTTGTTCGTCTTGCCCAATTATATTTTGCTAATGACCAACCGTTGTCCAAAGTATCCCGCAAAAACTTGACTCACTGAGACTGACTGCTAATTTGATAGCCATTTTTATCTGTAAAGCGTAGAGAAAAGCATTGTATGTCAAGACAAAAATTTAGCAGGAGGAAGATGTTAGAGTGTAAGAGTTCCTCTTCTTTCACCTTCAACCAGCTACGGCGATAAGGATCCGGTAACACATTTAGTCTTGGCGCGTGAATTCCTCTATCGGTACAGCTGCCGAAATTAATTTTGCTGCTTGGTGAGCCGTAGGATATCTCTTGACCGCCTTTAGTTCATCCTCGGCCAGACAAAGGTGCCTTTCTAGTTTACTGCAATATCACTGTGGCCTAACACACAGATGCTAAGTTTAATTAAGCACCTGATCCCCCTCAGCCTTACATATGTCATAGACCGGCGCAATATTAAGCAGAATGTTAAGAGTCACACAGGTCTGTCAATTTCTCTGGGGTTTTAAGCAAAAATTAAGCTTTTAGGTTTGATGACAATATTTTGTTTGTGTAGGCTAGGCTTTCATATCTGGAAACAAACACGCAGAATATACTATCTTCGAATAAGTAATGGGCAAAATTTGATTTACAAAGTATTATGTGCTAAGTACAAAAGCATTTAGGTATTTATGTTGCGGTAAATACCAAAGTACTACATCTTTACGTATTTTGGATGTTAGCGCTAAATAGTTAGTATGAGGATTTTCGGCATTCTGAGTACTATTTTGGGATATTCGAGACTACTTCGAGATTTTTAGGATTGACGGGATTGTCGGAACTATTTAGGGATTTTCGAGACTTATTTTGAAATTGCAGTGCTTTCAGAACTATATTGGTAAATATATCGATAAATAAATCGAAAAATACAACAATAAATATATCGATATTAATATTAATAAAAATATCGATAACAATATCGATAAATATATAGATAAAATATCATTAAAATTATCGATAAATATATCGATAAATATTTCGAAAAATATATAAATAAAAATGTATGTATTTAGTCCCGAAATCACGAAATATTCCCGGGTATCCCGAAGTAGTCTCGAAATTTTTTCGAAAACCATAAATCTGTGAGTAATATCGATTTTTTGTCAATAATGTTATCGTTAAAAGTAATGATAATTATATTGACTAATGAATTTAAGTGGTTTTATCGATCTGCTCCCAGTAAACGATAAAAAATATCGGAATTTTTCAATAATTTTGCTGTTGTAACCAAATAAAGTGCTTTAAAAGCTAATCAAGTTCACTTATTTTCTAAATCTACCTATCTGTAATCATCTTTTGTTATTAAACAGTATTTAAATTTTCATCACTTTATTTAATATGCTTTTGATAGATTTTTTATTTTTATACACAATTCGCAACTTATACTCAACTCTCAGTTCTCTAACTTGTTAATATGCTGCCCGTGCTCATACACTCGCGCCGTTACACAGTGGTGCTATTTTTAAAGCCTTTGCGCTAGCTTTGTAAGACATGGCAGCAGCATAACTTAAAATAGCCGCTGAATGTTTAATGCTCCAATTCCCTTTATAAACACTTGTTACATACCCCCCCCCCGCCACCACCTGCTGTGCAGTTGGTGATGGCTATGACGATGTCACACGCTGTCATATGTTCGCTCAAATTGTGCTTACATAGCATGTACGTAGTAGACATGAGTACGAGTATGAGGAGTCCACCATATGTAGAATCACATGTTTTTTGTATGTACGCATGTTGCATGAATATGAAAATAAATATGTACATACTTGTACGCATTGCAGGTACTTTACTTACCCTGCGCTGTGGCTGTCGAAAATAACGCAACGACAAAGGCCAGGAAAAATTGCCATTGAAGCGTGGTAAATTGTGCGGATTTTCCCCTATTGAATAAACGCATTTTTTTGTGGGGATTTTTTGGTTTATTGCTTTTTTCACACAAAGAATTCAATAATGCCAAACCGCGCGGGGGGTCTGGGGACTACGCTTTTAAGTTACTGTTTTTACCGTTAATCTCACTGCGCTTCTGTGTGCTTAAATAAATTTATATTTATATTTATTTATTTTTTTCATAAATATATATTTGTCATCTAAGTTGGTATTTTTTTATAGGTACTATCACAAAATTCTAACAATTATTCACAGTTATTAACTATAGGCATATGTATGTACATATCTTATTTGCTAGTTACATATAATTTCATTTCATAATCGCACTTCATCACTACTAAGCAAATAAGTATTATTATTTTAAATAAATAACTTTGCGTATTTTTTCGTATTCCCAAAAGCATGCACTTCAATTCTACTTCAACGTTTCCCCAGCGACTGAGTCGAAACGAAGACTAACACTAAGATTATAAATAAATATGTGTAATGAATCAAAAAAAAAACCGGCCGGTGATCGGCTCTACGCCAGCTCAGATAATCAAGCCAGACTTGTATTCACACTTATGTGTATACGTACATATATATCAATATAGTATATTTATACCCGCAGCATGTTGTTTTACACTGTAATCAAGATGAAATCGCTACAGTTTGCCGTCGCCTCGCCTTCACACCGCTTACATTTGTATGTATGTACGTATAGCAGTACATATATATATATTGATTGATAAACTTGTCATGTTAGCTGCCGTCATTGTTGTTATTCTTACTTTTGTTGTTGTCTCCACATTTATATTCTCTGGCTTTAACGCATTATACGCTTGCCTTTATGTGTTGAGTGCGAGATGAGCTTCTGCTGCTGAGATTCCTAAAACTCATTACCAGTTCTGAATTATAAAAGTACTTGTACACTGGAAAAAAATTTTAAAACACTCAGTAGGCAATTTGAAACAGAATATTTTTGATGGTAGGAGTATACCCGGAGGTTTTGAACTCACCTCAAAACACTCGCCTACAGAGGTAAGTTACACCAAACGAACGAACTTGAAAATTTACAGGCTTATTCTGCGTTGATAACACAAATTTTTATACCGGTAAGTACTGTATGATCTTAATCTATAGGAGATATATTACCTAAATAAAATAACTCTACGCTAGAAGGTAACGAGACAGAGGACGAATTCGCCAAGGCAGTAGCCTGCTTGGATGAGTCTGAAGCAGGGATCCGAGGATATCCACTCGGCAAAATAACTATCTGCAGAAATCCACTTGTAGTTTCCGAAGCAAGAAAGGAGGAGTTGGGAATAGATTAAGACTTGTAAGATAGCCCATGAAATTTGGTGTGATAATAGCAGTACTAGAATAGTGGATCTACTTAGTAGATCAAGAGTATAAATGTTTAAGATTATAGCAACTATGACCGTCAATTTACCTTTAGGAAAACATGTTACCTCAAATTAAAGGCAACTAACTTCTTCAGGGGCAATTAGAGAATCGACAGCTTGATAGCTCAGATGTTCAGCAGACATTGACGCTCAAGAGATCCTCATGAAGTTTCTGTGACAGATATCCCACTCCTTGTTGCTCAGATTCCTGCATGGTTTTCCAAGAGCATGCAATTTTTCCAAAGAACATTGATTCCCTCCATTTCGAAATACAGAGTGCCAGCCAGGGTGATTGCTGAGTAACAAACCCCTCGCTGTAAGACATTTCGCAAATTTTTTCCGAGTATGTTTGGGGTATTCACGATCCGGTGCATAAATAGCATAAATAGCCTGATTTGCTAATTTTGATGTTGTTTGAACACATGAAACAACAACAATCATGCTATTTTGTGCTATCTATGCACCTTGAATACCCCTATTGTATATGTATATACCGATATATGTATGCATGCAAAGACTTGTACATATTTACATATGAACTGGCATAATATGTTTATTCCTACGTACATATGTATATGTTAGCAAGTGCACTCTTTAGCGGTCATCTTATTT